GGCCAAACCATGTTTTAAGTAGGAGAAAATATCCAACAAATATAGCAATATACCAACTCTTTGGGTTGCTATAAGAAAATACCATGAACTGGGTGGTTTATAAACAACAGAAATTTATTTCTGACCATTTTGGAGGCTGGGAAGTCTAAGATCAAGGCACTGACAGATTCAGTATCTGTTTAGGGCCCATTTCCTGGTTCATAGATGGCGCCTTCTTGCTATGTCCCCACATGGTAGAAGAGGGGGAACAAGCTCCCTTAGGCCTCTGTTATAAAGGCTCTACTCCCATTCACGAGGACTCTGCCTTTGTGACTTAATCACCTCTCAAAGGCCCCACCTTGGGGGTTAGGTTTCAACATATGAATTCTGGGAGGACACGAACATTCAGACCAAAGCACCAACCTCATTAACATGAAGCAGTCTTCCAAATCAGTAAGAAAAAGATGAATAACTCAACAGAAGCTAGGGCAAATGACATAAGTAGGCATTTAAGAAACACAAATGGCCACAAACAATGAAAAGATGCCCAGTTTCACTGATAAAGAAACACAAATTGAAACACTATTTTTTGCCCACTAGATCCACAAAGGTGAAAAATATTAGCAACAGCAGTTTTTTTTATTTTGTTTTGTTTTGTTTTTTTGGTGAAAGAGCAGACACTGCCCATGGGCGCTAGAACAATAGTTTTGGAGGGCACTTTGCAACATCTCTTTTTTTTTTTGAGACAGGGTCTGACTTTTTCACTCTTAGTAGAGTGCAGTGGCATCACTGAAGCTCACAGCAACCTCAGACTTCTGGGGTCAAGCGATCCTCCTGCCTCAGCCTCCTGAGTAGCTGGTACTACAGGCTCATGTCACCATGACTGGCTAATTTTTTCTATTTTTGGTAGAAACAGGGTCTCACTCTTGCTCAGGCTAATATCTACTTTAAATGTTCATTTCTTTTGTCTCTGAAATTCTACTTTTAGAAAATTATCCCCAGAATCACATGCATGCACACAGACACACACACTCACAGTCATTGGAACATTGTTGGGAATTAAAAGAAGAAAAAAAGTCCTTCCATAAGGAAGTAGCTAACTAAAAAGAGTGGATTCATACCATAGAAATCTATGTAGACTTTAAAAAACCTGAAGGTGATTCAGTGCGTAACAGTAAAGAAAGATAAAATAGAAAAAAAATCAAGCTACAAAATGGTGTGTTTAGTTGTTTAGTTCGATCCTATTTATGTAAACACATACACATTGCTATGTGCATGCACAAAATCTCACGGGATGTGCACTAAACTCTTCACAGTGGTTATTTCTGAAAGGTTGGATTTACTTTTTTTCTTACAACAAGCAGATATTGATCTTCTAATCCAAAAACGTTTTATAAAGAGAAAGCAATTAAGTAAAAATTGGTTAAGGCGAATGCTCACACAAGAATGCAGTGAAAATATAAAGCTAAGGAATAAAAGTTGGTCCCCAAATCATATATAGCATAATACTTTTTTTTTTGGTAAACATGTATAAGAGAAAAAAATTGGAAATGCTCACCCCAGATTGTTAACAGTGGTTAACATTGTGGGACTCATTTTTTTTCATTGTATTTTTCTCTGATTTCTATGTTTTCT